AATTTTCAGATGATTGAATTTATTGCACTTCAATTTCACTATTATTTTGAAGATCATGAGTAAAGAATAATTTTTTAAATGCGTTTTGTTCTATCTCATTTGATATATCCATCATTTAATTAGGAAATATAAGCTGCATTATCTTCATACATGATTTTCAGAAAAATTTACATTTTCATTAACCCACAATTTCTTTTAATATGATGGGTTATTGATATCAGCCAAACACATTCTTGTTTGGTTTCATAAATAATCAATAATTCGACATGATTTGATGATATGATAGTTATTGTCTATTTTTTAGATCTCGAAGAAATCACAATATCGCCACATATAAATATGTAGCGAATTTGTAGTTTTTCTTTATGTGGGTTAGACAAATACCCAACACTAGCATATCCTAATAGCTTGTGTCGAGAATTATTCGGATGAAATAGGTTAAGATTACTTGTCCCTTGGAGATAGCACAAAATATATATAACTCCATTACAATGTCGTTTAGTAGGAAATGAACTAAATCTAGCCAAAAAATTTACTGCAAATGCAATATCGGATTTTGTGTTCTTTGCTAGGTCATAAGTGCACCTATTGCACTTAGATATGGTACTTCAAAACTAAGTATCTCTTCATTTTCTTCTTTCGGTCTAAATAGACCATTTTTAAAATCAAGTAATTTGGCGATTGTTGGGGTACTCAATGAATATGCTTTATCTTTCTGAGTATAAACAATTTGGTGAATGAATATTCAATTATCTACATATTTAATTTGCAGACCAAACAGAACTTTGTCTTTCTAAAGTTTTAATCTTAAATTCGGTTTTAGATGTTTCATAGTTGATTGGAGGTCTTCAGGAGTTCCATTAAGATTGAGATCATCAATATATACTTTAACGATCACAAATTTTGATTTATTTTTCTTTATGAAAATACATGGATATATTGGATAATTAGTGTAACCGTCTATGGTTAAACATTCAGTAAGACGGTTATACCGTATGCATCCAGACTGTTTAAGTCCGTACAAAAACTTATGTACTTTAATGTAATAATATTCTATGGGATTTGATTTGCATGTTGCAGGCATGTCGCATTCTTAAGAGATTTTCATATAAATATTATTCTCTAGTGAGCTATACAGGTAAACAGTAACTATATCTATCAGAGCATGTTAAGTTTTTTATGCAAAGAATTTTTGGGCTACAAGCCTCGTTTTGTATCGGACAATTTCATTATTTTCATTTCTTTGTCTCACAAATACCCATTTGCCTAAACTAACTTAACACTTTATGTTGTTTGAATTATAGGTCCAAAGGCTTTTTCTTTGGACAGTGAGTCTAATTCATACTTAATCGAATCGTTCCATTTTGGTCAATCGTTTCTTTTTCGATATTCATCAATTGATGTTGGTTCAAGATCCTCGTCATTTTTCATTATATCAAGTGCCACGTTATATGCAAAAGCATTATTAATGATTGTTCCTTTTGGTACTAATTTTTCTTTGTAATGGTGAAGTTAATTGAAATTTCAATAACTTCATTTTCTTCTAAGGTAAGCTCTTCAAAAGCATCTTCTTCAAGGCTTTGTTCCTTGTCACCACAAGTTGTTTGAGTTGTTTGAGGGATTGAATCATTAATCAATACCCTTTTCTTCCAAGAGTTTTTATCCTTAGGCCACATAAGCTTGCTACGTTTCACGCGCGGAAAATATATTGACACTTTTCATTAGTCATTATGGAGATATTTATTTTTACCAATGCATTTGCTATAAAAATATATGATCAGGTGACTCTGTTGAAGTCATTAAATACATCCGATAACTAATTTGCATTTTGTTGCAAGTATATATTTTTTTGTACGATATCTTTCATTTTTAGCAGATTTTTGCATTAATGATTGATATTTATTGTACAAAAATTAGCATATATGCATAATTAAATATCATATATTTATTTTATTGAAATTTTATTTTTTTCAAAATACATGATATTTAATTTTATTTAGACATTTAATTTTTAATGCTTACAGTATTATAAAAGACCATTATTTTTTCTTGATTTCTACTATATTTTGATATAATTAGTATATGTCATTTGTAAAAGATAATTTTGTATATAATATAAAAATTAAAATACACCATCCGTCGGCCTAATTTGAGATTTTATAATAGATTAAAAAATAATAATATTTTATTAATTAATAAAAATTTATAAGATGATTTTGATATTTTTTTCCTTTATACTTTTATGTCGAGCCGGTCCTGACTTTCGAAGAGCGTCAGGCGAAATAAAAATAAGGGTTCCTAAATATAAACTAAGGGTGTGTTTGTTTATAACACTTTACCAAAATTCTACTATTTACCAAAAAAAAAAAAAAAAAAATTCTCCCGAAAATATCAAATCAAACATCTATTTTTTTACTTTAAAATTAAATTTACATTCAAAATGTAATATCAATATATATTTATATCATATAATACAACTATTTTTGTATTATTTTTCTTAAATAATTTATAACCAAGATTATATACTTTATTCGTATGTTCAGAATAAACTTTTTTTTTTTTTTTTTTGGTTTCTATCTGTAGTTTTTCTATTATTTAATTTTTTAAAATAATAAAGATATGAAAAATATCTAAATTATGACAACCACATTCCTTCCAACCCATAAAATAATAAATATATATATCAACAAATGCAAATAATAAAAAAATAAAATTTATAATAATAAAATTATAAAATAAATATACAAAAAAAAAAAGAAAAGTAAAATTATAAAAAATAAAATTAGAATTAAAACTCAATTTGGAATAATATACAAGATTAAAGCCTAATCTAAATATTCAAATAAAACAGATGGCATCGCAGGATTAATAGAATATCGGATATGGAAATGGGATTGGAATGATGGGTGTTTGGGTCTAGCCGTTTAGCACAGAGGTGGTGTTGCGATTCCTCTTTACAAGTCAACGTCTACGGCAGTCTCATTATTAATCTTGAAATTATTAAAATATAGAATTTACATTGGGTTCTTCTATGGGTTTTTATACAGGTTTTAATATATATATATATATATTTTAAAATATCAAATTAATTCATTGTTTTTGTGATGTTTTGTGCATAATACATTTCAACTCGATCCAATTTTTCGAAATTCGGAATCTGTACCCACGATTCGACCCAATATTGTTTGGATCTTGACCGTCCCGAATCGGTTCTGGAGTCTTCATATAAATGTATATTTTTCGGTTCGATTGGAAACGTGATTCATTCTTTCATTCCCACATTACTCTCTGAAACCCTACTGTTCCCGACGCGTCGCGATCGATCTGTACTTGGTCTTTCCGGCGAGATTGGCCATCAAAGCTTGAGATTTGTCCCCTGCGGTTGTGATTCAGCCTATTCTAAGGCTGTTCTTCGGTTTAATTTTTCGATTATGCCTTTATTACTGTTCGTTGTGTTATTTGGTTGTCCGAGATGATTTAGGCTTAGAATCTTGAGATTTCTTTCGATTAGGGTTATATTTGCGCTGATTGTGGGTTTCCGTGGATGTCGATAGGGTTTGGATCGTGGTTGTGTGTATATGTTGCTACACAGTTGGAATGTTAGGTAACCTGAGTCCGAACTCCTTCGATTTCGAAGTATAGAAAAGATTCGATGTTTTTGTTTCATATGTGTTCGATTAATTGTAAACGACAAGTGTTAGGTCCTTTATTACATCTACAAGTGGTATCAGAGCCCGGGTGATCAACCGATTGCGAAATTGAAAGAATGAATTGATTTGAGTTTGGTAGGACTCGAATCGTGGTAAAAAACTAAACCCACCTCTCTTTAATTTCGGTATATTATGATTTTTTGTAAAATTGTGGTTTGATAATATGCTGAAATTCTTTGTGTGGATTGACTATGCTTACTCGGTGATTGATTGAATAAATTCACAACAGTCGGGATGTAGCATTTAATGAGAATGAAATGTCCTATTTGAAGCAAAATCAGATTTTAAATGATGAAAACACTATTGTTAATGGTTTTAATGATATTCAAAATGAGGTGGAGCAAAATCATTATAATTTAGCCAATTTAAAGGCTGAATTACTTGATAATAATGCTTCAAGTGGAAATGATACAGAAACAGCCTGTTCTGATCCAGATTTTAATTTTGGAAATTCAGAGGCTGATCCGGGAATCAGTTCTGATGATGTTAGTGATGGAGTTGAATCTGGAACTGTTGAAAATATTGATCAAAATCTGGAAAATTATCAACTTGCTAGGGATAGAGTTAGGCGAAATGTAAGACAACCCCCTAGGTTAGATGATTTTGATGTTGATGTTACCTCATTAGCTTATAATGTGTTTGAATTATTAGATGGTAATGAACCAAAGTCATATAGTGAGATTATGAAATCAAAACATAAAAATGAGTGGATTAGTGCTATGAATGAAGAAATGAAATTATTAAAGGATAATAATACTTGGATTTTGGTGCCAAAGTTAGCTAACAGTTCTGACGTTGAATGTAAATAGCTTTACAAAGTAAAATAAGATGAAAATAGAGTTATATTTAAAACAAGATTAGTTGCTAAGGGGTTTACTAAAAAAAATGAATAGATTACAATGAAATTTTTGCGCATGTTGTTAAATATTCTACTATAAGGTTCACGCTTGCTTTGGTTGCCTACTTTAATTGGGAATTGAAACAATTAGATGTAAAAACTGCATTTTTACATGGTGATTTGTATGAAAGAATTTACATGAAACAGCCGGAAGACTTCTTTGATAAAAATAATATTAATCATGTGTGTCTTTTAAAGAAATCCCTTTATGGATTAAAACAGTCCCCTAGATAATGGAATATAAAATTTAATGAATGCATGAAATCTCTGGAATTTAATAGAAGCAATTTTGACCATTGTTTGTATTTTAAAATAGCATGTAAGCATCCCATATTCTTGTTGTTATATGTTGATGATACGTTGATTATGAATCATAGTTTGGAAACTATTAATCATGTGAAGGACTGTTTAAGCAAGAAATTTGATATGAAATACTTATGGAATGCGAAAGTAATTTTTGGCATGAATATACTTAGGAATAGAAAATATAACATGCTATTTTTATATCAGTCTTCATACGTTAAGAAAGTTTTGAACAGATTTTGCATGACTGATGCTAAACCCTCTTCTGTCCCCCTCGCTTCTAATTTCATCTTATCTAAAGATCAATGCCCAAAATCTGAAAATGATGTGAAGTACATGATGAATGTTCCTTATACTAGTGCTGTAGGTTCTATTATGTACTTGATGGTGTGCACTAGGCCTGATTTAGCGTATTCTATTAGTTGTTTGAGTAGATATATGGCTAATCCTGGTGTGGAACATTGGAATGCTTTAAAATGTGTATTTAAATACTTGGTTGATACTATTGATGTTGGTTTAGTATTTGGTAAACACATTAGTGGGATAAAATTAAATGGTTATGTGGATTCCAATTATGCGAATGATAGAGATTCTAGGAATTCAACTACATCTTATATCTTTACTTTGTATGACTCGTGTGTTAGTTGGAAATCCCAACTGCAGCCTATAGTTGCTCTTTCTACGACAGAATCTGAATATGTGGCCATAACTGAAGCTTTAAAAGAAGGTATGTGGTTAAAAGGGTTGTTAAATGAAATAGGCTACTTGAAAAATGAAGTAACAGTTTTTTCAGATAGTCAATCCGGAATCCAGCTTTGTAAAAACTCAGTTTTTCATGATCGAACCAAACATATAGATGTTAGGTTTCATTATATTCGTGATATAGTGTCTAAAGGTTTTTTAAAACTAGAAAAAATACCTTCTGAATATAATCCTGCGGACATGGAAACTAAAGTTTTGTCAATAAAAAAATTCAATTTGTGTAAGAAAACAATGTATATAGATACTTTTGATTAGGATAATTTTTGAAACTTAAAAATCTGTATCTTTTGTTTAATCATTCTGTTTTTTGCTTGTTATATCTGTTTATGTAGCTATTTTTGTGGCTATTTGTTTAGTTGTTAAAATTTGTGAATATTAACCGTAAAAATAAGTCCGCAGGTTAAAAGATTGAAGTCGTTGGAGCTCGGACTGTGATGACACCTTTTAAAGCACTTTCTCCAATGCCCAAAAAGGTGGAGATTTGTGATGTTTTGTGCATAATACATTTCAACCCGACCCAACTCTTCGAAACCCGGAATCTGTACCCGCGATTCGACCCAATATTGTTTGGATCTGGACCGCCCCAAACCGGTTCTGGAGTCTTCATATAAATGTATGTTTCCCCGGTTCGATTGGAAGCGTGATTCATTCTTTCATTCCAAAACTCTTCTCGATTTCACCCTCAATCTCTCTAACTCTCGATTACACCTTATTGGTTTCCCACACACACTTCATCCTTTAATTCACTCCTAAACCCACTCTTTTATATCTATCATAACAAACTCACTTATGGATATAACAAAATAAACAACTTAATTAATTATTTGTTTAGGGTAAAGTGGGTCTGGGTAAATGGATTTGGGTTAAAGGGTTTGGACCGATCCGGTGGATCAGGCTACGGAGTGGGCCAACTAATTATTTATCGAGGGACTTGTCGGGTTAGGCCTCGAACGGCCAAAATTCCCAACAGTTTTTTTTTTTTATATTATATTATAAATTTTAACATAAAAAATATCACATCAACTTCTATTTATATTACATCAAACATCTATTCAAATTCAATTTTTACTATTAAAAAATTCAAACTTCAAAACTAAAACACAAACAAACACACCAATTAATGTCTCATAAATATATAGATTCATGGACCTTCTAAATAAAATATCAAAAAGATTTTTTTATAATAAAAAATATATATTAAAAATATGTATTAAGGATGGGCCTGGGCCGGAGGAGTATGGGCCCTATTTGTGATCAGCCTAGGCGGGCACTCCACCCGGCCTGGCCCAAGGCCGGCTTTAATTTTATGCATATAATAGTATATTCATAATTTATTTACAAATTAAAAATATTTTAATATTATCGTATTACTATAAATATACTGTAATAAAAAATATATATTTTTAAGTAAAATAAATAAAAATAATAAAAAATATTTCAATAGAACCAAATGAAGTATATATTGTTGCTATTTTTTTTTTTTAAAAAAAATCATATATATAATTAAATATATTAATATTCATTTCATTTGTACGACTCTCTACCCAGTCTCACATATATAAATAGATTCGAACAGGGGTATGTTCAATATTGAAAACCACCTTATTTATACAGATAATATTAAATTAATTGGGGTGTTTAGATCAAATTAATTAAAAAAATATTAAATTAAATTAATTTAAATAAAAAATAAATTATAAGACTAAAATTGATTAAATGGTAATGAAATGAGATCAAAAATATATTTTTGCTCTAACAAATAAATAAAACAAATAATAATATAGCTAACAATATTTAAGCAATTTATACACAAAAATCAAATATACTTATCGGTCCAATATAATAGTCTTGTTTATCATTTTTGTCCGTTCTAAAATAATAGTCTCATTTTCATAAATAATTATATCACTATAAAACTATCATTATTTTTTCATTACTATTACACAATTGCCGCTATTTTTTGAACTAATGCACTCACAAGAGTAAAAAAATCTTTTACTCGTACTTTTTACCCACTATCAATATAATATCAATATTTTTTAAATTTCGTGTCAAACACAACCCTGATTATAATTTTGGAACGGATGGAGTAATAATTAATAGTAGTAGTTGGGGTAATTTAAAAAATAGTGGGTTATTATTTCAAGTGAAGAAGTGGTTGGTGTTAGGAATCGGTGAATATAAGAATTGAATGTGTAAGAAGACAAAGAGGTCAGTCCAACAACTAATTTATGAATATTACAATGAACGATGGCTAAGGGTGGTTGATTATTATATATAAATAGTAATGATTTGTTTATAAAAAAGTTTTGAAAAATAATTAAAATAGTAAATATTTATTTTGTTTCGTTCCAATCAATTTGCTATTTGTTTTTTTTTATTATTATTAATAAATTAAAAATAATACTCCCTCGATTCGTTAATAAATTATTTATTTTTTTATTTTGGTCAGTCACATAACAAAGTATTTATTTTTTTTTGCAATTGTATGTCTATTAATATTATTAATATCCTTCCAATTTACAATATATTACATAAATATCTTCACATTTATATCATACAATACTAATAAAGTTAGTTTAGTCTTTTTACCTTTATTTCTACTATATCTCAATATAATTATAATATTTCTAAAACTTCGTGTAAAAATAAAATGATAGATAAATATGGGAGTGAGAGAGTATTATTTTATTGATTAATTGAAAGGTATAAAATTGATTTTAACATTTTTGTCTTTACAAGTACAAAAAAATAAATATTTTAATAAATGTTACGAATATTTTGATATTTATTTGAATTATTTTTATTATAATAAAAAATAAATACTTTTGAATGACATTGAAAAAATAATAAAAATGATATTTGAATTAAGACCGAAAAAGTAAACTATTATTTTAATTGCCACTATTTTTTATAAAAATGATATTTGAATTGCCACTACTTTTTACACTAATATACTCAAAAGGACAAAAAAGTTATTTATCCTTATTTTTACCCACTACCAATATAATATCAATATTCTTTAAATTTCATATCCAGTACAATAAGACTATACTTTAGGGACGGATTGAGTAATAATTATTGCAAAAGAAAGTTAGTTGTTTATTTAGGGTGTGTTTGTTTGGGGGTTTGGACAATGAGTTGAGATTTGAATAGTAAAAATTTTGAATTTGAATAGTTGTACGATGTGATATAAATAAGCGTTGATGTGATGTTTTGAATGTAAAATTGATTTTTAGTATAATAATAAAAAATAAAAAATATGTATTTGATTTGATGTTTTTTGGAGAAAAATTAGATGAATAGTATATTTAAAATTGAATTTTCCAAACAAACACACCCTAAGTTATAAACCTGTCAGTCCGTCCGTCCGTCCGTCTTTGTTCTTGTCCAGTTCTTGCTGTCGTTTTGTCAGTTGTCTCTGCCTCATCTTATTACACCTAACCTAACCCTACCTTTATCTCCCAATTCAAAATTCCACATCATCGATCTATTAAAACGCTGCGGCTTTCTCCCTTTCTTTTTCATCGTTGATCTACAATCCTCCTCTCCTGCAACCTCTTTCATTCCTTCTTACTTGCTTGCTTCCTATCATTATGGCGACACCACCACCACCACCATCATCATCATCCGGTACTCTCTTTAATTATATATATCCAATTGGTTACATCAATGGCACATTCATTCAGTTCAATTAAATTTAATTTATCGGGCCGGGCCGGGCCAGGATCTTTGAAATATATGTTTGGACTGATGTATTTATGATATTCTAATTGGTCTGTAGTTCCGAATAGAGCAGTGATTACTTCTCCCCAAGCGGAAAATGGCGAAGAATTCAAAGTCTCTGTGTTTGCTTCGTCTTCAGAGGTAGGTACGGTCAGCTTAGCTAGCTGGTCCGGTCCGGTCCATTTATTGATTAGTTAAGATATCCATTGGTCTAATTTGTTAATTTGATCTCCAATTTATGATTAGTGACGGAACCAGCAGTAAAAGTTCGGGGCAAAATTGATTTTTTTTTTTTTTTTGATTTTGCAATTCATATTACACTGCAGCAAAAGATAAAAAATTTGAAAAATTTAAATGTTTTAGAAAAAATTTCAATAAAATTACATAAAATTTAATATTTTTTTACTATAAAAAATAAAATTTAAAGACTAAAAGTATAACTCACAGATAAAATTTTTATGATTTTTTATATTATAAAATAAAAAATTAGAAAGAACAAATTACTATAAAATACATAAGTTTATTTTTTTACATTAAAAAATATATATATTTTAAGGGTTGGGGTCAGTTGACCCTTCTAGCCCTCCATGTAGTTGCGTCCCTGTCCATCATCAACTTACATCTAGATCATCTTCAACCTAACGCCATTAGAGCATATGCAATGGTTCTTGTACCAAAAACCTCTTATGGATGATGTGGCATTGACGTGTCCATATTTATTTTCTAACTGATATAATTTATGCACAATAATTAAATGGATAAACTGTTTTTTTTAGTCCGGTAATTGGATCCCCTTATCATTTTAGTCTCGTAAATGGAGCCTCTCGCAAACTAGTCCCATAAGTGAAAAATTTTCGCTGTTTTAGTCCTCCGGCGCCAGAGACGCCCGCGTGGCTCGCCGGAGGTGACGTGTCCGCCAGCGACACCTGGCGCTGACCTGGCGGACACGTGGATTTTTTTAATTTATTTTTATTTTTAAATTTTTTTTAAAAACTTATTTTTAATTTTATTTATATATTTTTAATTTTTTAATTTGATTTAATTTAAAAAAATAAAAAAAATTGAAAAAATAAATAAATCCACGTGTCCGCCAGGTGTCGCTGACCTGGCGGGATACCTGGCGGCGGACACGTCACTTCCGGTGAGCCACGCGGGCGTCTCCAGCGCCGGAGGACTAAAACAGCAAAAAATTTTCACTTGTAGGATTAGTTTGCGACAGGCTCCACTTACGGGACTAAAATGATAAAGGAGTCTAACTAAAAAAATAGTTTACCCTAATTAAATTAATATTAGAGCTCATAGCATGGCTTGAAAGTTGCTTGGACTGCACCAAGCAATGTTGTCTTTCAGGTCATTTATTAGCTTTTAAATGAAAGTTATTGTATAATATTTTTGTATTGCAAAAGCTTCTGTAGCAATAGAAACCATCTAAATCATCATTATTGCATATGCTTAACCATTAATGACATGGGTTGGGTGGGTGAAATGGAGTTTGACTACTCCAATCAGGTCTAATTTGACCCTAACTTATGGTCTTTGCTATAACTGCACTGTAGCAAACACTATTTTGTTTTATTTTATTTACATATTAATTTATTTATTATTTTTTATTTTTAAAAAATAATGTTAATTGGAAATATAAAAAATGATTTCAAATAATATGTAAATGAAATATTTGAAGAATATTTTTTAATTAAAAGATAGAATTATGGGTTCAAGTAAAAATACAATATCTGCATAATTTATTATTATTTTTTGGAAAAATTGTTTAAATTTTTTTTATAGTTTCGAAACTCAGTATAAATCGTCTTTATTTTAAAAATTGCATGACATACTCTTGTATTTTAAAAAATGTTGCATGAAACCTATATGTAGTTTTGAAACTTAGCGTAAATTTCCACTTTACTTTAAAAATTGCATGACCCTCCTTATACTTTAAAAAATATTGCATGAAACCTTCCGCCATGCAAAAAATATAGATAGAAAATTATGTTCTCATCACACAAGGGAGGTTTCATAGCAGTGGGGTTTTCTGCAACGTTTTTTAAAATATAAGAGGGTGCCATGCAATTTTTAAAGTACATAAAGATTTTATACTAAATTTCAAAATCACATGGGAGTTACGGACAGTTTTACCTTATTTTTTTGTAACATGGGAACTTGCAGCCGCTATAATTCAGATAGCCTGCAAATTAAATCCGACAACACAAATCAATAACATTAGACGAACTAGGTTTTTGAAATGAAATAAAGTGGAGTAGTGACGAACTATGTATGCATATGCTCTTTGTCTCTCTCTCTCAGTTGGTGGCAAAGCTGCAAGAGAATTGGGCAGAAAAAGGGAAAGAGAAACCGTACCCAGCGATGTACTCGAGTGTGTATGGCGGGATCACACTCGATCCAGCCATGATGCTCATCCCTATAGACGACCACATGGTTCATCGCGGCCACGGCGTGTTTGACACCGCCATCATTCTCGACGGACATCTCTACGAGCTCGACACCCACCTCGACCGCTTTCTCCGATCAGCCTCCCAAGCAAAGATCACCCCTCCTTACTCCCGTTCCGCCCTTCGATCCATCCTCATCCAGCTCGCCGCTGCATCCCGATGCCAAAAGGGCACCCTCCGATATTGGGCAAGCGCCGGCCCCGGCGACTTCCTGCTCTCCCCCGCGGGCTGCCCCACCCCGGCCTTCTACGCCGTGGTCATACAAGACGACTTCTCCCAATGCCGCCATGGAGTCAGTGTGGTCACGTCCCGAACCACCCCGATGAAGCCGCCGTTGTTTGCTACCATGAAGAACGTGAACTACTTGCCGAACGTGCTGGCGAAGATGGAGGCGGAGGAGAAGGGGGCATTCGCATCGATATGGGTGGACGAGGAAGGGTACATCGCGGAGGGCCCCAACGTGAATGTGGCCTTCATCACCCGCGACAGGGACCTCGTGATGCCCCCCTTCGACAAGATCCTAGCTGGCTGCACCGCTCGCCGCCTTCTGGAGTTGGCCCCCAAGTTGGTGGAGCAAGGGCAGCTGAGGAGTGTCACCACCCGGAATATGACTCTGGAAGAGGCCAAATCAAGTGCAGTTGCAGAGATGATGTACGTCGGGAGCACCCTCCCCCTTCTTGCCATCGTGACCTGGGACGGCAACCCGATCGGAGACGGAGACGGTAAGGTTGCAGGAGAATTGACGATGGCACTCTCGGATCTGCTCTGGGAAGACATGCTTTATGGCCCTCCCGACAAGAGGATTCCAATTCCCTATAGCTCCTAAGCTACTATCAATCATCATCATCATCATTATCACCACACCATCGATCAAGATTTATATCAATCATCATGCACTGCAAATTTTTCACTGCACGTCTTAATTATTAATTAGTTCTCATGCACTGCATTGTATTGTATTGTATTGTTTGTTGAAGTGGATTGTGTCAGTGTGTGTGGCCCTCGGCTAATTTTTCCTTGTCATCCTTTCCCCTCAAAGAGAAAAAGAAAGAGAAAACGGAAAAGAAGAGATCTATAGATCGTCTTACCATTTTCATTGTCCCTTTGAAACAATAAACTATCAATTTAATATTATTTCAATGCTATGTTTTCTATGGATAATGAGAAAGCTCACTCTGTGATCTCAAAGGTAAAATAGATTAAACAGAGAGATGAATGTTTTTTTTTATTGTTTTGGTTATGATGTAGATATTTACAATTGATTTAAATATTTTACAAACTACACAAATTGGATTTTTGTAGACAAATTATAAGTACATGATGGACATTTAAGTGATTTTAAATCACTTTTTCATTGTTTTTATTTATTTATTCATGTACTAATATATATTAAATTTAAATAAATATGACATGAATCGAAAATATATATTAATGTATTTTAAAAAATATATTTTCATATTAATGGAATATGAATTTAAATTCAAAATTATAGTTCTCAAAACAAGTTAATAAGGCGGATTAGCCCACAACCCACTAGCATTTGCAAATAAGCAGGTTCTTTGTGTGCTAAACTACGGCGGGACGAGACAGACTAAGATTTAGGCAACTCAACCCAACCCACCGGATTTTTAAAAATCTTAATTTTTTTTATATATTTAAAATAAAACATAGTTATATCGTAGATTTCAAATAAAAAATACTCCCTCCGTTATTTCAGCGGTGTTTACTGGTTGATGATATCCTTCAGCATTATGAGATCCAAATTGTTTCGAGATGTTATTGTTGTCGGGCAGAGGAAGAGATTGTTTCTCACCTCTTCTTTGAGTTGCCGGTTATTAGGAGGGTGTGGAGCCACTTTACGGCGCTCTTTCAGATCACTTTTCTGGAGACATATATGCCGCAGATCATGTATCTTCTTGGAGGATTTTGACAACACATACTCGGAGCATTTAGATGTTCATTCCTATATTGATTATGTGGTTTTCTTGGACCGCCCGGCAATAACATAATTTTTTTTTTGGGCAATAATAGGGATTATTAAAATTGGATTGGATCTTGATTTACGGCAAATGATCAAATATAGAATTTATGAAAATAATGTTGTGATAGATCCTAAAATGCTATATCATAATTGATTTTATACTCTTTGACTTATGAGTTTCTAAGTCGAACACATAGATTTTAAATCATGAAATTAAACCAAGACAATACTTACAGAGTCTGGCTGATTCAGGAAAGCATCAAAGTGGCTCGATAGAATATTGTAAAAGACAAGAAAGTAATCAAAGCAATAAAGTTGAGCGTGCAACGGTAGTGAGCGGAGTGACGAGTTGCGAGCAGTGGGTGTTGTGAATGTACTGATGAGCAGATCAGTAGGGATGGTATGTGCGTGATATATGTATACTTAAGAGATGGTTGGCGAGCGACATTTAATAGCAATATGGAATGTATGAGGGATATTGAATTAATGAATAGAGTGTAAAAAGATGTTTGTGTGATCTGTACATTCCTTAATGGCTAGATTATCATGGACGAAATGAGCGGGTGATGAAAGTGAATCAGTGAAACATATATGTATACTACGAAATGAAAGATAAAATGCATGTGATCATACTTGTTCATTTAAATTTGGTTTTTGACTCGTTGGTACTTGACCTTAAGGAATTTACATTAAGACTTCAATGACACCCCATATTTAGAACACTATAAGCAAAAAAAACTACTATCAAGCGTCTATATCTAATTAATCATTTAAAAATTTATTTTATTAGTGGCTTTATCCTACATACCTCTTTTTAATCAAAATTAAATCAGATCAGTAATTAAGCAGGTCAACAAGGCTCTCGAGTACTTAACTACCATGAACTACCTAAAATCAGTTAATGAATAAGGCGTAAAATTAGGCATTGATAATCAATTCTTTGAAGAACTATCAACAATATGTCAAGATTTCAAACTTAAACAATCAAATATAAATTTAAAATTGGGGATGAAATTGTAGGCGGGGAAATCATGATATATGTTTAAAAGCTATGAAAAAAATAAATCTACATAATGAAAACTTCAAACAAAGAAATAAAAAAGCAATAAATTTGGCTATAAAAACGACTAAAACTGGGCGATAAGGGGAAGCGAGGATCTCCACTCTCCCGACCTCCTCTAACTAAGAGAACTTCTTTAAAGGATTGGAGCTCTCGAAAAATGAACAAAGTAAAACCAAAGTAAACACTTGTATGTAGTATTGTAGTGTATTTTACAAATGAAATCTTGCCCTATTTATAGTATTTCTGGATTGGAAGTTGGCAGCAATTGAGCGGTTACAAATCCGTAGTTGGGAGCAGTTGAAAGGTTGTTGCAACCGCTGGGTAGTTAGGCAATTAAGCGGTTGGTCAGTTGGAACTGCTCTAACTTTCAGGTTGCTTGCTTGCTGGACTGATTGTAATACCCCCGGAGTTTGGCCGGTGCTAGGCCAACTCTATGGATGAGCTGCTGTCAGGCCATCCGAGATTGAATAGTAATTAAATGGATTGAATAGACTACTTATGTCAACAATGTGTACATTCTTTTTCGGAAGTCCTACTGAAAGAACTCTAGAGTTAAGCGTGTTTGCCCTAGAGTAATTTGAGAATGGGTAATTTGAGAATGGCTGACCCTCTGGGAAGTCTCCTAGGGTGCGCGGGAGTGTTGACAGAAGCACGCTGGAAAGACTCATCTTGCGGGCCGGGTTGGAACATGTCTCAATCTGCTTAGGTGATCAACTATAAAGTTTTCTTTTCCCTTTCGGTCCTTGATCTCTATGTCAAACTTTTGTAGCAAAAGAGCCCATAGGATCAAGAGGGCCTTAGTCTCATTCTTTTCTATCAAGTTCTTTATTGCTGCATGGTCTATATTTATGAGTGGAGTCCAACATTCTATTGACATAATAAATAACATTCAGCTTGGACTCCATCATTTGGCCCCCTTTGCATCCGTCGTCAATTCAGCGGTAGAGTGATTTTGCTGAAGTCTTTCTGTAGAAACCAGCGTGGCCAAGAAAAAGTCACACAATTTTCTCATTCTTGGCCGCTGTCATCTTCTTGATTACACTAACTTTGAATTTGTCCACCTCAGTACCGGCGAGCGAGATCTTATAGCCAAGAACAATTCCTTCATTTACCATTAAATGGAACTTCTCCCAGTTCAACACGAGATCAGTTTCAATGCAGAGGACCAGAACTTGATCCAAGTTATTCTCGCATCTGAAAAAGATCTTGCCATATATTGAGAAAGCATCCATAAAACTTCTATGCACGAGTCCAGAAGATCACTGAAGATATGGTACATGCATCGCTGGAAGGTGGCTGAGGCGTTGCAGAGCCTGAGCGGCATCCTCCTGTAAGCAAAAATATCATATGTACATGTACAAGTAAAAGTAGTTTTCTCATAGTTCTATGACTTGATGAGAATCTGATGATAGTCTAACTAGCCATCCAGGAAACAGTAATAATCATGACCGGCTAGCTTTTTAAGGCATTGATCAAGGAACGGCAACGAGAAATGATATTTCTTTGTAGCGACATTGAGCTTTCTATAATCGATGCAGACTCTCCATCCAGTGATAGGTATTGCCATGAAAACCTCCATTGATCATCCGTATGTTCGACAAATCCTTCTTTCTTGAGGGCCATCTGAGTTGGGCTGACCCACTAGTTAACTATGAAGAACGTGAACTACCTCCTGAACGTGCTGGCAAAGATCAAAACGGAGGAGAATGGGGCATTCGCGTCGATATGGGTGGACGAGGAATGGTACATTTCGGAGGCCCCCAACGTGAACGTGGCCTTCATCACCCGTGATAGGGACCTCATTATTCCCCCCTTCAACAAGATCCTGGCCGGCTGCACCACCCGCCGCCTCTTGAAGTTGTCCCCCAAGTTGGTGGAGCAGGGGCGGTTGAGGAGTGTCGCCACCCGGAATGTGACCCTGGAAGAGGCCAAATCGGTTGAAGTTGTGAAGATGATGTACGTCGAGAGCACCCTCCCGCTTCTTCCCATCGTGGCTTGGACGGCAGCCCGATCAGAGATGGAGACGGTAAGGTTGCAGGAGAATTGACGATTGCAATTTTGGATCTGCTTTGGTAAGACATGCTTCATGGACCTCCCGACAAGAGGCTTCCAATCCCCTATAATTTCTAAGCTGCTATCCACCACTATCATCATCATCATCACCACACTATCGATCAAGATTTATATATCAATTAATCATTCTAATCATTCTTCACCGCACGTCTTAATTATTAATTCTCATGAATTTTATTGTATTGTTTGTCATAGTAGATTGTGTTAGTGTGTGTGGCCTTCAACTACTTTTTCCTCGTCTTTCCTTCCTCTCCAAGAGATAGAGAAGACGGAAAAGAAGAGATCTATAGGTCGTCTTACCATTTTCATTTGTTCCTTCAATTTAGTACACCCTCCGTCCTATATATTATGTCATATTTTTCATTTTCATCCATCTCACATATTATGTCATTTTTTATTTTTGAAAAAAGTATTTATATTTTAATCATAATTTAAATTTTATAATTTATAATTTTTTTAAATTTTTATTAAACTAATTAGTTATTTTAATTTTAATATATAATTATTTATATTATATTATAATTAATTTTATATTTTTAAATTTACTAATCATATCTCTTTTAAATTCCTGTGTACATTGTAAACATGACACTGTAATTGAGACGGAGAAATATTACTTCAATGCTATATTTGTTATGGATAATGAAAAAGTTCTACCATTTCAAAGGAAAAATAGATGAAAAAGACATACGAGTTTGTTTGTTTGGTTGTTTTTTTTTTTTATTATTGTTTTGATTATGATGTAAATATTTCCCATTGTTATAATTCGATCGTGTACATACTGGATAAATGTTTTACAAACTTAACTAGTTGAAAAATAATTTAGATAAATTATATAAGTAGATGATGGACATATAACTGATTTTAAATAACTTTTTCATTTTTAATTTTTTTTTTTCTTATTCACGTACTAATGTATTTTAAATGTAAATAATATGATATTAATAGAAAATATATATTGATATGTCTTAAATAATATATTTTAATATCAATCGAACATGAATCCAAAATTCCTAATTTTCAAATAAAAAGACATATTGTTTTATTATATTTTGTGCGTAATATTTGGTTTAGGTTCGATTTGAATTTGAAATATTTGACAATTTTAAAAAATTACATTCTTTTAGGTTAGTTAGTAGATTGATTTTAAATTTTATAATAATAAAAAATATTAATATAATAAATAATAATTGTATGAAATTAAATAAATTGTAGTATTTTTTATTAATAATAACATTTTATTTGATAATATATTATTTTTAATTATAAGTATTATATATATATATATATATAATTTCACCGGATCCCCATTCTTCCTTCTCTGTCCTCCTTCCAGTTTCTCTCTCCTACTTCTTCCCTAAATTCTCCTCTTTCTATTATGGAGTTTACCACAGCAAATTTCCACCACGTCAATTTTCTCCTTCGTTTTTTTCTTTAACTCAATTTTTTTAGGGTAACCGTCCACCATTTTTCTCCTCTTTATTCTTCCTTCCATTTTTCTTCTTCTTCTCTGAATTTTTTTACACCAGTCGTTCACCATTTTTTTTCCTGTTTTGTTTTGTTTTTTTTTTCTCGATCAAAACTATCTTAAACACTCTCACTAAGCAATAGACTATTATTACCTCCGTCATATAAGAATGGTATCATTTGCGTTTTTGCATCATTGTGTTTAACATTAAAAATATCTTTAAATTTGTATAATTTACTATGTATTTGTATTATAAGAGACTAGTAGAGATATTTTTATATTTTTTCTTGATTTATACTATGTATTAATATAATAATAAGTATTCAAATATCAAAGTCCATGTACTCTTGACAAAAGTAATATTATTTTTTAATTTACTAAAAAAATAAATGAATAGAATGATTTGGGATTGATGAAATAAAAAATTATTTTTTACCAAATGACATATACTTTTTTGTCCCCAAATTTTATGCCCACACTTTCTGTGTAAATTACAAAAGAAGTGAATATAAAATTAGCGGACAGAGAAAGTATTAATTATATATTAATCAAATAAATCTTCTGATATATTTTCGATTCATATTTGAAAAAATATAATATATACATACAAATATACTTACACAATCTATAATATATATTTTATATACTAATGAAAAATCAATAATTCAATTTAAATATTATTTTTATTATTCATATACTTTCTTAATACTTTAAATAAAAAATACAAAATAAACACATTTTTTTTTTCGTACACTTCTTATTTTTATTCAATATGCTGTTTATTTCATACGCTTTTTATTTTTATTTCAATACGTTTTCCGATTTTATGTTTCTAGCTTAAGAATTTTTTATATTAGGCATAAAATATATGAATAATATAAAAAGTAATATTTTATGTTGAATTGTTGGTTTTTTTTGTAAATGTATAGAATATGACGGCGGTTAAGGATCTGTATTTTAAAATTCAACATCGTGCTGATAATATATCGTGTTTATTATGTTAATTTGTTGCTTTTAATTTTAAATTCCTTCAATCTTACTAGCTATTTATGTGTTAGTTGTTTAATTTTTTTTAAACATACAAAGATTGATACAATTTATAAAAATACATTACAATATATTGGTGTGTGGTTTGGAGCTTTGGATTGAAGAGAAAATAACGAAGTAACTGGTGATTCAATCCTGTGTAGTTACCTTGACAATGAATTTGAACACTGCAATTTAGTTTCGAATTGAATTTGCCTTACACCATAGCTGGTAAGTTCAATGTTTCCCTCTCTCCCTCTTTTTAATTAATTTTTTTCTATTGAATTTGAGTGTTATACTTATTATTGATGAATTTGGTTTTAATGATAAAGTTTTGTTGACTAAATAACTCACGAGAAGTACATTGCAATAGTAAAATAATTTGAGTGTTTTTCCTTTTTTTTATTCTGGTCTCCAGAGTATTTATGATAAAAAAAAAAATGATTAAAAGAAAATAAAACATTGTTCCAAAGCTGATGCATTGACTTGTTAAATTAGTATTGATTTCGCTTGTTTCAACAACTATTGTTGAGAGAATTTTCTCTGTTATGAAAATTATTAAAAATAATTTGCGTAACAAGATGGATCCACTACAAAAAAAAATAGTATATTTGTAACGGAATTCCGTTCCTAAAGTTCACGTAGCTAGCGTAATTTAATCTCTAATTTCGTCTCTAATATCATTAGTAACGGAAAAAATGAATTTAAAAACGAAAAATTTTGTTACAAAATTGATTTTTTTTGTAGTGATGATAGAGTTTCTCGGAGATAGAGTGCTATATTGAAGATAATTTTTTTGCAAGAATATTAAAAAAAACCATTTTATAACATTTTCAAAATATGGCAAGTCTAAATATTCAACTTCTGGATGTCTAATTTATTTGAACAATATTTGATATTACTTAAGTTAGAATTTATGATTTTTGCTGTTAATATTTATTTAATATAAAAAACTTGCCCCTTAGTTTAATTCATGTTTTCACGGGAAAATGAAATAGATATACGTTTTCATCTCCATCAATCTTTTCTTTCTCTAAATTAACAAACAACCAAGCCTACATTCATATATATATATATATATACATATATATAGATAATCCATTTGGGGTTTGAGATTTTGAGTTGGAATTTGAATTGTAAAATATTTGAATTTGAATAGTTGTATGATGCGATATAAATACGTGTTGATGTGATGTTTTGAATGTAAAATTGATTTTTAATATAATATAAAAAATAAAAAATAAGGATTTGATTTGATTTTTTGAAATATAAAATTTTGATGAATAGAAGAGTTTGGAAAAGTCTCCCAAACAAACACACTCATAATATATTTACATATTGCTTCATATCTTTATAAATACATACACCCGTGCTAATCTAAATACATGCATGTATACATACATTTATATAATTGTTGTCTTTGAAGTTTTACTTTTGGAAGCCCCATGTTTATTAGCCCTCTTGGAAAAGTAAAAATGTGAGTTTTTCAGTCTACTCAAGAAAGGCCTCCGGGCTAATCTCGCATAAGGTGATATAGATAAATGTTAAAATATATTTAGAAGCAATATATTATATTTATGCTAGTTATCTTATTTAAAAGATTCGTAGGATTCTTGCCTTATTTAGACGATTTGTATATCACTGTAAGTATGTATGTATTCTTATGATTGAAAAAAAGAATTTCAGTTTTATATTCCAACAATGAACAAAAACTTAGATAAAAATAAGGCCAAAAAAAAAGGTAAAAAAATGGTGAAATTCAACATTATTGTGTGAAAAAGAAGATAAATTTGCATGGAATAAACGAAGAAAAAGAAATACATTACAAGAAAAATAAAAAAATAAGAACAAGAAGAGAACAAAAATACAAAGGGACGGCCGGTCCTGACTTTCGAAGGACCCGGGGCGAAAGAAAATATGAGCCCCTTAATATATATAAATATTAGTATATTTTTATCTATAATAAAATATTTTTCTAAGATTTTTAGATGAAAAATAGTATAAAAAAATAATTTTAAATGTTTGAAACACATAAAATTTGAACTTAAGATCTCAA